AAAAAACAAAGCATGAAAATCGAAAAAGATCAAGACAACAAGTGAGCCAGGCGCGACAGGCTTGATGGGGGAGGAAGCAAAAGAAGCATACAAAACCCAACCTGTTCGTTGCTCGCTCTGGGCCGTTGGAAGATGTCACTCAGCACTGCATGACCAGTATTAGGTAGAGCCCAAGTCCATCGCTTGACATAAACAGGTAGCGCAAATCGCCTCACATGCAGCAGCCGGGTGCACGGGTCGGCTCACACTGAGCAAGAAGCGAAACCACCTGCGGTTGACGTAGTTCGATGTTGTTGGGACGGCTCAAGTTACGACTGACTACGCAGTGACTCCAAAAAGGCAACACGCTTATACGATGTATTCCACACATGCATATGCCGCTTATACTGTGCGATGCATACCACCCGTGCATATGTAGCAACAGAAAAAAAAGGCCTGCTGTTGTCTGTCTCTTCAACTGTTGTGCTGCTGTTGCAACAGGCGAAAAGTAAGTGATGTGCATCGCCTACTACGCGAGCAACGCCTACGCTAGCAACGCGTGCAGCCCAAAGAGACAGAGACTGAAGCAATTCAGCAACAGCCGCATGGTCAATCACGAAGAAACTCACAAAAAAAAAAGATGGTGGCGCGCAGCACGCAGGACCCTCTTTCACTGTTCAACCGGCCGTTCCCATGGCGACACAGACAAGGAACAGTCCAGGCCGAGTCGTGTCGGCCACAGCAGGTGGAAGCTGCTCAAACTCGGGGAGGGGTAATGGTTTGCGATTGCCTACCGATCCATACTTCGGGCGCCACGAGATTTACACTGTAGCTCGAGATCGGCATTTGAGACAGGGTCGGGCAAGGGGTGGGCTATGCGAATGAAAGTTCCACCCACCCACCCACGGATATTGAAAGATGAGACTGAAGCTAAAGCTTCAGAATTTCGGAAAACGGGCCGGGGACCTGTACATAAGGATAGTTTAGCCTCCCCCATGCTGCCCCCTCACGGGGTCCCAGTTCATGGCAGACTAAGACTGACGTCTTTTCATTGGTCAGCCGGTTAGCGCGGTCGATACTTATAATAAAAACACACACACACACACACACAGAAAGACTACCCATTCGAGATAAGACCACAGCAGTCGAACGGTGTCGATCTATTTTAAGACTGGCTACTGCTTCTGGATGTTTCTAGCCCTCTCGACCTATTTTAGAGACTGGCTATTGCTTCTGTATGTTTCTAGCTCGCCCTCTCGAATATTTTGAGACTTGCTATTGCTCCTTTATGCTTTCCGCTCGCCCTCTCAATCCCTTTGAGACTGGCTCTTGCTTTTGTGTTGCGCACTTTCTCGCCCCCGTTTGTCACTTTTCGGTCCGTTGTCGAAAGTTTTCGCTTCCCTTTCCCTATTTTTCAATGCGACCTAGGTTCGTCATTAGTTGCGGTGACACTCAACTTTGTGCATCGTTTAACTCCCCCCCTATGGTTTGCTTTGCATATTTTATGGTCCAACGTTCCGCCGGTGCTTCTATTGCATGCCACGGCCAACGTGTTCCATCTTGCCACATCTTTAGCATTTTTCTTCATGCAATTAGCCTTGACGTGCATGTAGGATTATTTTCCTCGCCCCAACCCGATCGCAAGCACGTTATATCGTGACATGCGAACGTTTGTTTTTGGCGTTGGTTCCTGTCCTTTTCTTTGGCCGTTGTTTACGTTCCCCGGAAACCCCTTTTGCCATGCTTTCCTCGATTTTGGTCGACCCTTAACGGTTTGTCGTTTTAGCGTTCGCAGGCTCGGTTTTCGTTTCTTATTATTTATGTTTGCATTTCAGAGCTCAATCGCATCGTAGCCCCCCTTCCCGTAAGGTTTTGGCTTACTTGATGGCGTAGTCGATCTGTTCATTCATGCGAGATCGTTTGTGATTTTCCCTTCACGATTGCGCTACTTCGTGGTATGGTCTTTTCGGTTCGGATGTTTTGGTTGTTTTTCGCACACACGTGCCTTTTTCCGATTTTTTCCGCCGAGTTTGCCGCTCCGGCTTCTTTGTTTTCTTCTTTTGGGTCCGCTCTGGTTTGGTTAACGGAGAGGTGCGGGTGAGGGTTTTGAGTTGTCGCATCTTCGATCCATCCCGCAATCCTCTTGATTGACTCGAGTCCCTCCGAGGTTTGTTTCTGTATCTGCATCTACGTCCACTCAGGGTAGGCTATTGCTATGGTATTTGGAGGTAGACATGTGATCGTGGTTGATCATGGTTATTTGGCGCCGTCGGATGCTAGGACGTGACGTCATGCTAGATCAGGGCTTTATGCCGAGACATGTGCCCTTCTGTTCAGTGTGTGCGTACAGACGATCCCTGATCGTGTGTGCGTGGGATATTGTGAGTTGGCTTGGAAAGCGTTAATCAAGAGAAAGAGAACAACGGAAAGCATCAACCTGCTACTGTGGTCGGACAAGAGAGTTCCACACAGCTCAAAGGTGATTGATTCTGAAGGAAGGGGTCAAATACCATTACAACGGGTTGTGTTGAAGTCTTTTACAGTGAATGGAGGGAAACCGGCTGGGTACTGGGCTTATTTGGAGTCTATTTAAGCCTAAACACTGAAATTTTTCTATCAGTGATGCCAGCAGGTGCTAATCACAAAATCACTTCTCTGTATAGGTACAAATACCACGAGACATCTCCCCCGTAGAATATCGGGGAGAAACCCTCCGTTATGTCGTGTGTTGTAATATTCTGCCTTTACAGGAACACGTCGCAGTGTCGCGTGACAACTTGCTGTAATTCATTTCTTTGTGCTGTTGATCTACGATGTACGGCAAAACTTCCAAATAAATCGAGGCGGATCAACTCCCCTGTGTCTTGCTCGGTTGGGTGACGCGTCTAGCCCCTGTCGGCTCGTTGAAGCCATCCATCTCGTTAGCATCCACACTGTAGAACATCAGCAGTGCAGGACATCATCGGCAGCGTATGTAGAGAAGAGGTGGTGCGGGTATCTCAACTGGTACGACCACAAAAAACATGCTGATTAATGTTTCCCACCTGGAATAGGGTGACAGCAGGAAGGGTTTTTGTGGGCCAATGGTCACGATGAAGATCAGCTTGGTGCATAACTCGCTACAACCGTTCCGTTTCGCCTCAATTCCTATCGGAGAAGGCTACCAAGGTGGCACAACTGTACATGACAAAATATAGCAATAGGCCGTGTTTTTATTACCCCCAGTTACTCCGCAAATACAGCAATGTTATTCATTATAGAGTAAATACATGCGTAGGGTGGGAAGAAGAAATCAAACATGACTAGAGACTCATTCGGCGGACGCCTTCAAGATTCTGACGGCACTACCGCGACGAAAACCTCCTTCGGCCAAAACTGTTGGCATCACATGGATATAGATATGTATGTCCTTTCTCTCCTTCTCTCTCTCTGCCGTCGAACTAACCACCCATCCCTCCCAAAACATACAAGTTTCAGGACCTCTGCGCTTCCCAGCCCCCTTCCACCTTCGTACTGGGGCATAGACAGTGGGTTGAAAAGGCGGGAAATTATGTTGATGGGATAGATAGTAGGGAGGACATTTTTGACCCATCTTTGGCAAAGTAGGAAGGAAAGATTGGCCATCGGTGATCGGTGGAACAATGTTCTGCCCTCTCGAGGACGCGTGGTCAATGGTCTAACCGCTAAGGCATGCAAAACATAAGAGTGCCCCCCCCCCCCCCCCCCCCCCCCCCCCCAAAACCCTCCTCATCTCGGGGGGGCCCCTTGGCCCCCCCTTCCCTCGGTCTATCTCTTTTTTTGCAGGGGAGGGGTCCTTGCTGCCGGCGTGTAATGTCGGAAAAGCCCCCCTTCGAGAGGAGACCCTCAACTTATTTTCCGGGGGCCTTTACATCATCAAAGATGGTAATGACAACTTACCCCCGGGACCTGAGTAACCGCCCCCCCCCCAAGAAAACGCATGGCCAGCTTCCTGTTCATCCTTGTTAAACAGTAGCCTGGTCCGGCGACATACATCTCGCTCCGTCCCGGCATTTCGTGGATGCGAGGT